TTTCCAATTAATTCATTGCTTGAGCGAGTTGAAGAACGAAGCCAAATGGCATTCAAAGCAAAAAGGATTTGGTAGACCAGAAGAACGGTACTAACAAGAAACAAAAGATTAACAAGAATGGAACTTTGGGAAACTCCACTCCCAATATTGTTGATAGTAAGCTGGACATCCAAAGTCCGATGGCCTCAAGAGATCAATCTAAAGACAAGAAAGCGTAAAGAGTAGCCGCCACCCCCAAACCACGTCGTCATGGCTTTTAATGTGACGCCCAGTTCGATCGTGGTCATTTTAAAAAAACCATTATTTTTTCCCAGACGCACTCAGAGTCCCTCTTAGGTCATTTTTCAAAAAATCTCATTATTTTTCCCGGAAATCAACCCGCACTCCAGAGTCCCTCTTAGGATATTTTGCAAAAAATATCTCAAATTATTTTGAAATCAACCCGCGGTCCAGAACAGATGGCCTCCAGTTTTTTTTTCAAAAAAACCCTTATTTTTGTCGAAAATCCTAGTGGGTAATAAGGCAAAGGCATTGACAAACCCTCTCATCATTTTTGAGCGAAAAAGGAGGCTTTGACGAAAACCTCCTCGGATTTTCTCAAATCAACATACAAACTGAACTTTGATTATATTTTTTTCCAAAAAAAGATTTATGTTTGTTGACACTATTTTCATGACTGAGTTACAACAAAAGTACTATAAAAATGTAGAAAGATATCATTACTCATTTCTCCCGAAGGACTAGTGGGTAATAAGGCAAAGGAGGCATTGAGGCGAGGTGAAGGTGATGATATTCTGGAGGAATCAGTTTAAGTGCGAGCGAAAAAGGAGGCTTTGACATAGAGAAAGAAAAAGAAGTGGGAGAAGAAGTACATTCGCTATAGAGAAAGAGCGGCTCGAGTTAGATAGAAAGAGGGTAAAAACTGAACATGCCATGGTTACACATAAGTCCAATAACCTTGATCTCGATTGGATCAAGGAGATATAGAGATTTATGACAGTTGACACTATTTTCATGACTGAGTTACAACAAAAGTACTATAAAAATGTAGAAAGATATCATTACTCATTTCTCCATCCATTTAATATTATTGTCAGTAGAAAAAATATTTTCTTAGTATATTTATTTAATATAATAATGTTAATAACGTCAAATAGAAAATAGTTTGACTTAGGCCGGCCGCAGTGTTGCAGTAGTGCAAGAAAAAAGAAGGGCCCCATGTCCAAGTTCTGGCATCACTCTTCGCAGACCACAGTGTGTGGGCATAGGAGGCATCACTTCATGGGTCCCACAAGTGAGAGATAAGGGAAGTAGTAAAAAATAGAAGCAACAGGCCATGCACAGTTGATGTGAGCCGACTGAGGTAAATGGGTGGCCGATGAAACCATTTTATTTCCTGGGCATTGGTTTGGGACCGGCGCATGTACGTGATTCGCTCTCCGTTTTTCTGACACCATCGACAGTTAGGCCTTGTTTAGACTCTCTCCATCACATTAAATTTTTGACATATGCATGGAGTATTAAATATAGATAAAAAAATTAATTAATTACACAGTTTGATTATAAATTACGAGACAAATTTTTTAAGCCCAATTAAACTATAATTGAATAATAATTATTAAATACAAATGAAAATACTACAGTATTAAATACTGATTTCATAATCGCGAACTAAACGTGAACTAAACAAGGCCTTAGCTTCTCTTGCTGCGATGTGTAGAGCGGTGTCAGAATCGGCTTTTCCCGGGCATCGCTCATGCGACACAGGGTAGAAGGCCTTAAACGGTCTCCAACTAAGAACTTAGCGCGTGTTTAGTTGTTACTCCAAAATTAAAAAAGTGCTATAGTATCCATCACATCGAATCTTTACGATACGTATATAAAACATTAAATGTAGATGAAAAAAAATAATTACATAGTTTGGTTAGAAATTGCGAGACGAACGTTTTAAGCCTAATTAGTCCATGATTAAACACTATTTGCCAAATAAAAACGAACGTACTATAGTAGCCCAAATTTCCAAATTCAGGGAACTAAACACGCTCTTATATATAGACACTCAAACCTAAAATAGGTAATAAGAGATATAAAATTAGCTTCTAACAGAGTATCTATATGGAAGATCTATTTTAGGTTGTCTGAGAAGCACAACCTAAATATAGGCATCGTCTCTTCTAAAAACTCATTTGTAGAAATAATTCTCTTTTAGGTCTTTTGTTGGAGAAGATGCCGAATAGGTATTAAGTCTTTTACCTGTAGCGCTACCCAAAAAACGAATAAATCTTGTATATTGGGTGTTGTTGTTGGAGATAGCCTTAGACCTTCCACAGCGTGGCGGTGGTGCATAAATAAATTTTGACTGTACACCTAAAAATAGGCACCACTGCTCTTTGAGCTAGAGTGTGCGAGCATCGCTGCTGAGCCCCATAACACAGCTGAAAAAGATAAACAACAAGGAGTATTTTTTTTACCTCTCATCTAAGTACAGCGGTAGTATCTGATCGAATATAGACACACACCACCACCCACACACACGCACTCACTGCACGGTATACGAACAAACCTATAACTATACCTAGACAACAAACGCAGCTGAGAGATACTCGAAGATCATCTGACTCCTAGCATGGCGGGCACCTTACTTGACCATTGTGGCACATCTACACGAGCGGCGAGCGGCAACTGAAATTATTAACGGAGAATAAATCTCCAAGGTGAGAAACGAGCGCGGAGGCTAGGACTCGAACGCTGGTCGACACGGAGCAAGCCACAGGCTCCTGCCTCTCGCGCTACGCGGTCCTCAACAAGCAGTATATTGAATGGAGGAGAGAGTAAAGGACTATGCGACTTCACTTTTCTTCTTTGTTTATTAACTGGGCACCGGTTCCTCTACATTGATTCGCTCCCATAGTTCTGGCACCCATGGCTGTAGTGTGAGGAGTGGTGCTAACTATGTGTTTGGTTTGAGGACCAACTAGGTTGGGTTGGGTCCAACCTAGTTTTCTAGGTTGGGTCGAACCATCTTGCGTTTGGATAGAGGGATGTAGCCATTCCAGTTTGTTGTTTGGTACAAGAAATTGGATGGGTTGGAATGGATGTCATTGTAAACACCGTGTGCTGCTGTTAGATGTGGGACCTAGCTGTCGGCCAACCTTCCATCTTCTTCCCCCTCTCTTCCAACAGAGCACCACCACACAACAGAGCACCGGCGCTGCCCATCCCCACGCCGCTACACAGCTCGCCCAGCGCAGGCCGACCTCGCGCCGCCGCCAGCTTGGCCGAGCCCGTGCTCTCCCGCTGTGGCCGCAACCTCCCCGAGCTCGAGCTCGCCCGCCATGGCCGCCACCTTCCCGACCTCGTGGTCACCTGCCATGGCCGCTGCTTGCCCAAGCCCGAGCTCGCCCGCCATGGCTGCCACCTCCCCGAGCACCGCCCTGGCCACGCACGCGTTGCTCCGTCGTGGCCCGGGGTCGCCGCGCCAGAGGAGGTCCTCCCGTGCCACTGCTCGCCCAGATCCGAAGGAGCGCTACGGCCGGGGACCAGGACAGGGCCGGCACGGGCGCCACCCTCCTCGCTGCTCCCGGCCACCGTCCTCCCCGTGGCTTCTTGCTGCTGTCTCCCTCTCTATTTGTGCCGTCGCCCGCCCCTCCTTCTCCCCGATGCCGGCCGCTACCCTCCTCCCCGCCGGCCTCCACTAGCCCCTGCCTCTCCCCATGCGCGACTCGCCATGGCCGAGCAGCCTCATGCGGTGCCGGAGGCCGAGGCCCGCGCCCCTCGCGCCAGCTCCTCCTCTCGCGCAGGAAACGGAGGGCGCCGCCGTGCATGTGGGTTGGATGCGTCCGCTCGTTTTGGGCGGATACATCCAACCCGCATCTGAGAGGAATATTCCCTTACTAGGATAAACCCAACCCACTACCTTTTCAACCAAACACCTCCCTAACCGGGTCCAACCCATTCCAACCCCTTCAAACCCTCAAACCAAACACACCCTAAAACACACACTCTCTCTCTTCTAGCATCACTCTGGAACAACGCTGTGGAGGGCCTTAGAGGAAAACTGAAACGGTCACTCTCTATGGGACCGAGGTATTACGTAAGAATTCACTGAAAAGGAAGGTGGTCCAAGCTGGCCGTTGTAAAGATTTACTGTCACTTTGCTATAGGATGTACAAATCAAGGAGTAGTTACTTGTCTCTCTGACAAAGCAAAAGAATCTGCTTTTATTTATTCCAACAATAAAGCTCCCAGGTACATTGACTCCACATATGATGAAAAATGACAGCCCAACCACAGTTGGTGGCATCAACTAATAATGACCGGTTCTAAAGAGTATATCTAAACACTAATCCGATCGCTGAGCCATTTGAATTGATCTTTTCTACTACTACATGACAAGGTCGTTCTCCCTCATAGACGAAAGATGACTAAAGATTGGCCTCCAGAGTGTCTGGTCTGATCCGAATCTGCCGATCACCCAAACAAAGTTAGAAAAAGGGGGTGACGTTGATGCTCAGAACAGACAGCTCAACTCAGAAGCAATTGACGTTTCGTTCCTGACAAGCCTCAAGAAACCTGGCCTGCTGCCAAAGTTCATATGCTGAATCGATCAAGAAATAAACATGCAGAAATAATAACAGTGTTGGTTCAGGCAGTGGCTGGCACTGCAAATTATTCATTGGCTGTAAAATCAGCGACGCCAGGAAATTACACGATCATCACATATATATAATTATTACTTTTACTTTCATCCTGAAAGGGATGCTAGCAACAGCACAGACACATATCCACTGCACCACAATAATCGATGGACCAGTCATGGACGCCTCAGCCGGACAAAGCAGGCTAGCACAGCAAAGACGACGACCTCCATGCCTGTCTCAAATTAAAGACCCAAAAAAAAATCACCATGAAGCTAGCACAGCAACCGATCGATTATCCTTAACTCTGCTGCGATTAACATTAACTGGAGAGGAGAATGGGACGAAATCATGCATCAGCCATCAGCCCCTGCACTGGGTGATGGCGCTGCAGCCGCGGGAGTAGGGGTTGGCCTCGGCGCCGGGCTGGCAGTTGTAGTAGGACGCGCCGCGCTGCGAGCAGGGCACGTTGTCCCTGCGCAGCGCGTCGTAGCCGATGTAGCCGGAGCCGCCCTGCAGCACCCGGCGCTTGCTGCCGCCGGTGGCCATGCCCGCGACGTCGCCCTCGCCCTCGGCGTCCGCGCCGAAGTACTCCATGCACTCGCCCACCGTGCCGCCGCGGCACGTCCGCCCGCCGCGCCGGATCACGACGGCGCCGGCCAGCTGGGCCAGGTCGTCGACGGCCACGCCGCCCGCCGACGCCGGCGCCGCCGAGAGCGCGGCCACGGACACGGCCATCAGGAGCGCGAGGACGGCGGCGGCGCGGAGCAGGCGCGCCATGGCGAACTAGCTAAGTGCGCGCGCGCGGAGGCGGAGTGTCGTCGCTCTGGTGCGATGGATGGAGGGCCGGCGGCCGAGGTAAGAAACAGTCGCGTTTGGTGGTGGTGTGGGAGAGCGAGGGGTGGGGATGGGGGATTATATCATGGCAATGGCGGGACGGACAGCAGTAGGTGAGGACTGAGGACGCGAGAGAGAGGAAGAGAGGGGGAGAGATGGCGCGTCGGCGTCGGTGTGGCGCTGTGGGGGCGTGACAGCGACCGTTGGCCGGTCTCGAGCGATCAACGTAGGCCGCCGGCCTCGCGACGCGGTCACCACTTTGATCATTGCGCTCGGCCGGCTCGTGCCGTCGGACGGGCGGGCGTTGGAGGCGCGGCACACGCGGATCTCCATCGCTTATTCGCCTGTCTCCTCTCCTCTGTGCTGGCGCCCGGCGGGCGGGCGGCATGATTGCGTGATCTCGACGGTGGCAGTGGCAGGCAGTTGGTGTGCGTGTGCATGTGCATGTGCATGGATCACGAGCTAGCGTCGCTCAGCGAGCCCAGGTGCTCGATCGGGGAAAAGGCGAAATTATCCGGTAGCGTAGCGAGCGAGAGACGCCAGCTCGGTAGGACGGACGACTAGGAGCCAAGGACGCACGTACGCGCACGGCCTCCAGTGTGGGCACGCTGGGACTCGCGTGCGTGCATGCCAGGCACGTTGGCAGTTGGTCCCTCGGCCGGAACAACGGAGGGTGCACCCCCTGCACCTGCACGGCACATGTGGGTGCGAGGCAGTGAGCGACACCAGCTTAGCTTGACGAGTGAGAGCTTGGTGTTAGCTTGGCGAGTGAGAGCTAAAGTTGATAAATACAGCTTGTTGCTTGTTGTATGAACATTTAAATTTATTACTGGCTGTATGATATTTAAAATTTCCTTATCAGTGTATTCATATAGTATTTAGCTCACTTATAATTTATTTTTTCTTTCATATTTTTTTTTTGTTTTTTATAAGCTCGTTGTAAACTTAGAGCATGTTTCTCTTCTTTCTCCTCCCCTTTCTCTACCTCAGCATAAATCCCACCTAAAATCCTTTACTTTACTTGCGTTAAGTGAGTACTCTTTGCTCAGGTCAGAGCAACTTCAGCGGAGCCCTCAAATTAGGTCCTCTATTTTTTATTTGAGGGGCTCCTCCACTTTTGAGGGCCTGATTTTTTCCATATACTCTAATAGAGCCCTCAAATCCCATTACACACCGGCAAATGGGACCATCTCCTCGTCTTCTCCTAACCATTTTAATTGACTGAGCTATGTTCTATCGCCCTATTCGTTTGGTCTTGTTTGGCTTATAAACCATACTTTTTCAGCCAGCAGTACTTTCAGCCATGGTTTATCAGCCAAACAAACCTAAACGAACAGGGCGTATGTTATACGGAGAACACTAGAGGAGCCGGAGGAGGACGAGGAGATAAGCCGAGCGCCGACAGGATGGGTGCCTCAGCAGCAAAGGGGAGCCACGCCCCCGAGGGGCCTCGCCGCATCGGGAGAGGGCCTGTCCGCATCGGATGAGAGGGCCTCTCCTAGGGACGGGAGGGGAGTGGAGGGTCAGAAACAGGGCCCCTCTAAATGAGGGCTAAGAGAGTGATTTGAGCCGACCTCTCAAATTTGAGGGCCTTTTTGTAGGAGCCCCGACAGAGCTCTTTTTTTTTGTCTCTAGCTTTTAAATCTGTTTTTGAGGCCTCAAGTAGAAACCCTACAGGAGTTGCTCTTAGCATGCACTGCGTAGTAACCATGCTGTGTTGATGAAATCATTTTTCCAAACACTTGTTAGAATTGATTAAGAAAAAAAATTAAGGTGCAATTCAATAGTAACAAGTGTTTGGAACTTGTGATTAAATAGACTAGTATAGTGCCCGTGCTAACGCCACGGTTTCATTTCAGGGATGCACATGAAAATAACCAAACATCACTATTTTTTTTCTATAGTTTAAGTTTCCCAATTGTACATGACCATGTATATAATCCGGAAAACACTCAAAGGTACTCACCACCCAACTTTTAAAAACTACAACATACAAGTACTATTTGTTGCTAATTGAGTCATTCATGCAACTATACTAATTGCCTACAGTATTGACCTCCTTGATTCTTACTTTCAAGTTCTCCAATTTGCTGCAGAGAATTAGACCTCGAAACCTTCAAGGAAATATTTAAGTAGCATCTTGATGTTAATGTGAACATTTTCAAAGATATTTCAAAGAGAAATTTACCATACAACAGAATTACAAATCATGAATGCTTCAAGGCAATTACCTCAAAATTCTTTAAGCTAAGTGACACATCATAATACTGCCCCCTAAGGCTGATCCTAATTTCTTGGAAGTACTAGAAAGAAAATATTTATAAAAAATAACTACATCCTGATATGAATACCAAAAGCTTTTAGAATGCAGGAGTGATGTAGACAAGGCCCGATCTTCCGATATGTACGATAGTGTCGATTGGTGGAGACTCGACGTTCACGATCTAGGCTTCGAACCAAGACTGATGCGGACCCTTGCAACCATTACACCACTGCTCCATTGGTTATCAACCATGCGAACGCGATTGACCTCGCCGAGAAGGCTTTCCTGCAAATGAATCGAGAACACAAGAAAGAACGGGATGAACGCAATCTGAAATTGCAAATAAATATGAGGCTTATGATAACGAGAAGGGGTTCAAGTTTTTATTCGAAAGAACTAATCGACACAGGCGAACAAGATAAAAACTAGGGCCCTGGTTCTCGGCAAGCGGTCTTGGCGGCACAGTTATAGTAAAACGACATCTGTTTCACAAGGAAATTAAGAACTAAACAAAACCCCCAAACCCTAAGGAGAGCGATGGCTGCTAATTATAGAGTCTTGGGCGTCACCCCCTAGACGCGTCCCTAATGGGTCCAAACACGATACACGGTCCAACGGACCAAAAGACGGTGTCGCAGCACCCTTGTAGATTCTGGATGCTGACTTTGTTTCGACGATTCCCATTGATTTCGAAGGGCTTTTGGTCACTTGCATTGGCTTTCTTATCTAATTAGCTTTCCATCCATTTGTGGATCATCGAAAACAGAGTCGAACGCGCCCGTATGACCAGTTTTATGACAGACTGGTTCTGAAATCCGAGATGGGCTCGAACTTGATTTGGGCCTCCACCTTGGTGACTCGAACCGGATGAGCTTTGGCCCTCCTTCTCAGTTAGGACACCCTCACTGATCTCCTCATCCTCTATCTCAAGCATGGTCGTATGAGCTCATGTCCTTATCATCCTCCCTTTCTTGATGAAAAGCCATCATCGGCGTCGATTTTGCTTGAAGTCGATCCTACACAACATGAAGACAAACGAGGTTTCTAAAATAATGGAAATGGGCAATGTTGTGAGAAAGAATATGACCACATGTCTAGGTTTATAGCATATCTTGTCCTACAGACATGTAGTCTGCTCAATTAAAATACACACGATCTTTGCCAATACTATCCTGCAAAAGATTAGTACTAACAAGAAACATATGCTCCCTTTCTTTCGATTTCACTTGTGTTCAAAAAGCAAAACTAGAGGAATATGGCATAACAACAATATTAATTTTACTATCCTCTAGTTGATCATTACTTTGCACAACAAAAGGAGAATTTGGATTTGTATAAATATAAACTCGTTGCATCAAATATTGTCCTTGGTTGTTATATTTGCCAAAAACATGATATGTATGTTTAGAGAACCATAGCAAATCAACATATGCATAAAGTTTATCCTCTAAAGAACTAAGATTATACGGAACATCAAATTTAATGTAACCCAAAGTATTTAAAGAAGACAACAATTTCAGCTCATCATCTTCACTAGCGTTATGAATAACAAGTCTATTTTCAGCATAAGTGTTCGATTTTAGCACACATATAGTATGATCATTCTTCAATGATTGCATGTGTATAACATAAATATCATCATGCAAGTCGTCTTTGTCACAAGGAACATCAAGCAAATCATCTTGTGACAAAGGTAAATCAAGCGAAGGCTTAACTAAAATTTGCTCTATCATAGCATGATTGGTGAAAAAATTCAGCACATCAAGAGAACTCTCACCTTCCGTGAGTTTAGCATCATGGACATTATCTTTGCTCTCATGTTCAGTAGGAGTAATAGTTGATGATTCTAAATTTTCACATGAGGCTGTGAGCATCTCATTTTCTGTCATGTCATCCTCGCTCTTTTGTACATTGTCCTGTAAACGGTTAGGCATAGTAGGAGGAATAACAAGAGATTGATCTAGTTGATGCACCTCATCATTTGAATTAATTATAAGAGATGGATTAACAAAATTTTCTCTTATAAGATCTTTCGTATCATTCCATGTGTGAGGTTTATCTGAAAAACTTAAAGACTCCCACCAAGTTGATGCAGATTGTCTCAAAACATTAGTTGCATTTTTAATTTTCCTCCATTCGCACATATAACTTTGTGCAAAAATATTATCTATTTTAGTTTCCCACTCAATGTACTCATTAGCACTAATACCATCATAAGTAGGCGGGGAAGAAAGAATAGATTGACCTGCGGGAGGAGGTGTAACAGCAATAGTGCGTGGCTCATGCATCATTGATGTCTCATATCGATACGTGTTGTAACCTATCATTGTTAACATCAAACTAGAAAACACACAAGTATGTATTTTCCTATCAGGTACTATAGGATGTGATCAAGGAGTAAAGTCACACACTCTCAAGCATCTTACCACGGTCTTACAAGTGTTCTTACCAAAGCAACAGGCGGTGCAATCGGTCGGTGACTGTGATACCATTGTAACTTGAGTATAACAGTTGCAAGGCGAACCTGTACTTGGTTAGAAGAAAATGGAGCTTGGACAGGCACAATATAGTAGCAAGGAATAGCAATATTCATAATTGAATAGCAAAGCTGAATAAGTATCTCGAGTATTTGTCTTAGTTGCTGGTCTATTCACGTTCCAAGTACCAGATGTATCAAGTG